GAGTTACAAGTTTTTAAATTAATAGTTTAATGTGTAAGTGTATGTATCGTACACGTGGAAGTAACAGGATTACTAATTGAAACATTGATCATGCTGCTTTAAGAACTGTACAGTTTATTAAAATCTTCAACATCTTAATAGGTAGTACATGGTGGTCATCAACAAACGCATAAATAAGCAAACTGTATTACTTCATAAATACATTTTATCTATCTTAAAATACTTACTGTTCTCAATTTTCTTTTATAAATCCGTATTTTTGTATTTCATCCATAAGTTGTCATTATTCATGGTTGAAATTCCAGCGAAATCTTATAAATCCTCGCATCTCTGTTAGCGATCCACAAGGTTAGTGGAAGTCAAACAGATCCCTTCGAAGACGAATGCCTCCCGCGGGGTTGCGTTTGATTTATCCAACCGCATAACACGCGCATTTTATCATGCGCGCAAATTTTTTTGTTCAGCCCGCGAATAAAAAGGAAAATCGTCTTGACACACGAGTCACGTATGAGTTACGCGTCAGGTAAAACCCCTAAAGAACAAAAGACGAGGAGAATTTTAAGCGCAGTACACGCGCGTTACGTTTCTTCTCGTTGCGGCGGGATTTCCTACTTGATTAGCATAATCTAGCATAGATGTACGGCGCGTGAAAGGCGAGGGTACGGTGAACGGGCTTTCCGTGTGCATTGTTATTATGTATTTAGCGTGTAACTCTTGGGGGGGTATAGTTTGGGGAGTGTGCAAGTTCGAAATGCGAGGACTTAGCAGTCGGACGAACTTATGATGAAAGTTCGCGGAACGATTCCAGGTTTGTACACGGCCGTGTCTCTTCCCGTCTTCTATCTACGTGCTCTTGCTTTGGGAAGTTCGTCTTCCTCGGGTACAGGTGCACACACGCGAATACAAATGTGCAATATACCATGGAGTTTCATGTTATAATTTCCCATAAATTGTATGAGGTACTCTGCTACTTCTATAAGTCCATTGTTTAACACTCGCGGTGGGAATAACTTTATTCGATATTTATATGTACACGGTACCGATTATTTAGAACGGTTTATCATGTTAATCGCAAACATGCTTGTAATTAAATAATGAAACAATTATTTATATCAGTTTTGTCATTAGCAATTCTTATCTTTTTTTTGAAATATTAATGAAGTTTTACATCAAGAATAATTAGGTATTGTATCAGTTTATATAAGTTGTCAGCTAATATATGTATAGGATAATATTAAAAATAATAAAAGAATAATTTAAAAATATTAACTTATAAAAATAAAAAGTTCCATTTTTTTGTACAAAAGTAATCGTTTAGTTAATTCCTTAAACAAATTACTCAATTATTACGCAAAGTTTTGTAATTAAGGTATTTGGTATAGTAGTATTGAATGTTTCCCTTTTGGTTCAGATATTCGTGAGTTTACGCCCTCCTCGTCGGAGTTCCTCGCGTTCAGGAGTATCCTCGAAAAGTTTCAGTAAATTTAAATAAATTGCAGCCAAATATTTGAATTCTGCAATGAAATTTCAGCTCTTAAGACTTAGCTTTATTTTGCAGGGAATTTACGGACAGATAATCATAAATTTAGCTAGAAGTACTTTTTTACAATTACCTCGCTGGTGATAACCATGAATGTAAATTCACAGATCTAAAGAATAAAAGAATTTTATTGAAAGTTTTGAAATCTGGATTGAGTTTAAACTTAACATGTTTTTAAGATTAAGTGTTAATACACTATTTTAGGTGATGTTTCTTATTGACTTGGCAATTCATTAAATATAATTTAAATATAAAAAACTACCAGCAGACTATTTTTAAACTAGAGCTTCGTATATGTGGCTCTAATACATGTTCAATCTTGAAACTTCAAAAACTCATGAACAATTGCGGGGGTAAATGAGTTTTCATCATTTGTGTTTGCTTTGAACCTTCCGCATTCTTTTCTGCTTCTGTTGCCAACTGCAGCCAAGAACGTAACGAAATTCAGCAATAAAACGAGTCGTAGCTCCTAGGTTGTTAAGATAATGCTGCGGGGCTAGTACCGCCGTGAACGCGGAAGCCCGGCGAATAAAAATATAATGGCTTACGTAAAAGTGGATTCCGACGGGCTCCACGGTGCATAAGCTATGACCTCCGCAAGCATATTTTCTTGTATCAGTCCCGCATAAAAATTCTTCGCCATATGCTGCCTTTCTTATAACAATTAGGCAACTGATAAACGAGTTTTTCACTGATTTTTTCAATTCCTTATGATTACCGAATGGAAACGTTAAAGTGCAAAGTAAAAACTGTACAAGAGTTATTTTTTCGACATTTATATGATACGATTTGTAACAAATATTGTGTTCTATTTTCTTATATTAATTTTAGAACAAACTATGATTTCGTAGTTTGCACATCAAAAGAATTAATAAGTCGAAATATGTCTATTCGACTTTTAAAGTCTTGTACATTTTTATTTCTCTGTGAGTTATCTTTGATGTATACAATTTCATTATAATTAATTAGTTTCATTATATTCTGCCAATAATTAATTTGAATTAAACGAACGTTTACCGCGTTTCGTTAATTCACATCCCTCGAAATTAACGACAATCGCGTTGGACGATTTATTATTCCCACAACATAAAGATGAATCCATAAACATAAATCCGAAGGAATAATGAATACAGATTTCATATTTAAGTTACGGTTGCTCCTTCGGAGGATCAAGCATTAACGAAATTAATCCATCGGATCACGAGGGTAGGAGAGAGGGTTGCCACCACGCAAAAACCGTAAACACGGAAGAGCGACTCCAGAAGTTTTGCCGCTGAAACAGGTGGTAATAAAACGGTATCTGGGGGCTTGTTCTGTTTCTGACTTTATTCGTTCTTACCGTTCCCCAGTTTAATACCTTCTCTCAATACCAACTTCGAACACGGAAAATTGGTACGTTTAAAACGACTTGTGGCATGTGGAAAATTCTATGGTATGTAATAAATTAAGAAAACGGTGAACATGTCCGTAACAGATTATGAAAATCTAAGGAAATGATTGGCAAATTTTGAAAGCCAATAGTAAATGGATTCAATTTATTGTGAATCTATCAGAAATTTAAATATTCAACAAATGAAAAACTGGTAGTTACATATAGCAAAAAATATACAAAATATCAATAGTACGATCATAATAATAATTGGAAAATTTGCAAAGAAATTTTTTAGGTTCTATCTTTTTAAATATGCTTATCGAAAGTTCGCACATGAATTTATAACATGATAATCAGTCGATAGATTCTGGAGAAATTCTGAAAATGAATTAAGGAATTTTTTTGAAAACTCAGATGGTTATATGTGAATGGAAGAATTAGTTATCAACTATTTAAAGATTTTTTCTAATTTGTTGTTTGAGAATCTTATTTCGCGAAGAGTGAACCGCAAACGCGGATGGCTATATTTTCAACGATTTCAATCACATCAGAACAGCAATTTGCGGAGTTAGGTACTCGGCTAGCGCGGTGAACTTTTCATCTTTTCAAGAGCCGTCGCAAATCGACCGTTGCGAAACTTTTCAATTACATTAGAGCCGAGCATATTAAACGCATCTTTGAAGATTCTTCTCCCGAGATCTTGACGCGGCTATCCTTCTCTCTCCCGCATTTCGCCACTAACTCGATCCGAAGCGAGTTTGGAGGGTAAACTTATAAACTATGAAAGTTACTTTCCTATTCAATGAATTGACCGTACCTTCGACCCTGCTACGTGCCTCGAAAACGTTCCGTCTCGAACTTCCTTCCGGACCCCACAGTTCCTTCGTGCATTTTCTCTCATTATCTATCGCCGTGCGTGAGAAAGAATACAATGTTGCCCATTTACCGGAAAATTACAAGTTTTTTCATTCTACATCGAGTACGTTAGTTCGACGGAACACGTTGCCACGCTGCGCTGTGCCGTATCGTTGGTTCTTAATACGATTACCTCACATAATTCACATTCGGATCGGAGCACCATTTGGTCTTTGTTTGGCGGGTATGGATTGCAGACTCGAATAGACACTGAAAAAAAGATTCATGTCTGACGTGCAGTCTTATATCAACGTCGAGATCCTTTAAAATATAATTTCATTGAAATTCAGATTTCAATACATAGTTAATACGCGTCTCGAGTGCTTTCGGTTTTAAGCGCTGCCAGCTGCTTTCTTTATAAATTGAAAATTAGTGTGGAATCTATAATAGATGTTGAAATCTATGAAATGTTAATTCAGTATCTGTGTTCACTACGTAGATAGTTCAATTGAAACTAATTCTTCTAGAAAGTCTAATGGCTGAGATACATAATAAGATACTTAAACAAGCAGAAAAATAAGATAAGATACAGAAAATCACATAATTTAAATTCATGAATTTCCTATTTGATATCAGATTAAAATCCTTACTGTTGTAGTATATAGAAATAGGAAATGAAAAATCACTAATATGTAGTTAAAATTGATATTGGATCGGGGACCACGACTTCGTAGTTGGAGACATCAGAATCGAATTCCACAACTCAATGGTTGTCGTCGTCGATTGAAATACTTCTCCTTGGTTTCTTTCTATTGGTTTTCGTGTCTGTGTCGATGTCGATATCGAGGACATTAAGTTATCCTATTTTAAATGTCTTATTGTCGATAGCTTCATTTCAGGATATTCCAAGAATGTCCCACTATTTCATCTCTTCAAGTTTCATAAGATTTCTATTTATTATAAGACGATATAAGCTTTTATCATTTGTAGAACCGGTTTCCAAATTATTTATACTATTTTATTTTCATTAATGATATCTTTAGTCAATTGACGACTCATTTTCTTATTTTTAATTGCACATAATATATACTTTTGTAATAAATATAATAGGAATAAATTAAATTCTTATATACAATATTCATATTTCATTAAAAATTGTAATAGATATTTATTATTTCTGCCTTCTGGTTAGTATTTTTGCTACATTACAAATTATATTATTTTATCTGTTACAGAAGTCGAAAAGAGTGCAGGTGCTGCACCGGGGGCATCGGGTGCAACTGCAGGGGGCCCTCGGGGGTTGACATCGTCCCCTGCCCCCTCGACGCCCTCGACCCCTGTCGTTACCACTAGTGCCTCGGTTTGTACCACTTCGCCTTCGTCCACGCCCTCCCCATCGACATCACCCTCCGCCCTCGTAGCGGGTTTCGATAAATCGGTACTACAGGTAAGATTTTTGCTATACTGTTTTTATTTAAAATGTTCCATTTATCTTCAGATGAAATGATTTACTTTAGTCATTATTTAAAAATATACAACATTCTTGTGTACGTAATTTTTAGTTAAAAGGAGAATAATAATTTCGATGTCGTGAGGCTTCAATTATTGCTTTTATAAAGTTAATCATACTTTTTCGATGTCGACCGAAATGAGACACATTATATTAATAATTTCAGATATAAAAATCTACAGATTATAAATTATAAATTAAGTATACGTACTTCCCAATCGTGTTAATATCTTAATTTCTACAATTTTATTTGCATATTGTTTGCATTTTGTGATATAATCTGTACTCACATGGGAAGAAATTTATGATGCATCCAGCAACAGATGACCGTACTTTTTCAGATATGAGTTTAGTCGCAGTTGCGATAGGCGATAAATCACTTTTCTTGAAAGCTACCTCGTAACGGTCTTCTCAAACCGTTCAACCCTCGATAAGAGCTTTCATGTCTGCGATGTTTATACGAACGTCGTTTAGCTACTTCATTTTGTACCGTAGGGTCTCACAAATTTTCGAGACTCGTATAATATGAAATGATAACTCGGTTCCGTAAATTACGCACACAAGCAACAGGCTATATCGTGGAATAAAAGGTTCCCAGGTTTTATTCTCGTAGCATCAAAAATAATTCTTTCCTAAGAGTTATGTTACCTGTTAGGCGCTAACAGTGGATGCGAGTATCAATTTGAATTTCATATCAGGTAACAATAATCAATTGTAAAAACTGAAGAACCATGTGATTTGATTCTTATCCAGTTTTTGAAATATAATTTTGATTTATTGTTTCTGTTGGAACAAGATGAGTTGTAATTGGAGATAAGGTAACATTAAGCTATAAAAATATGTAGGATATTTCAAAAGACTAAAAAAATGTGATTTTTCCTTTAATATATTTCAACAATGAAATTGAACCTTTTTCATTAAAATCTATTATTTGTACCAACTATCTTCTTGACAAATGCGCAATTTTCATATGGTTCCTCGCACATGAAAATTTTAAAAAGTTTTTCCTATTTGTATGACATACTTCGTTTTGATTATGCCGCTTTTGAGATGCATCTACGATGTGATTATGGTAGTGGGCGGCAGGATTAATTACGATAATGTGGTAACCGCTCAGTGCTGGCCTCGAGCATCTGTGCTAATTAAAGCACGTAAATTATGACCAGGTAGAAAAAGAGTGACGAGAATGCAGGAACATACCGGACGGACGTGCCGCTGGGAGGTGAAACTCGGTACCAAGCTGGTGGGCGTCGACGAAAAAAATGCGTTTTCCGGGATGCGTCCCGTAACGGGCTGCCTCTATATTTCCGCGTTCACTTCCAGTCCAACCTACTCTGAGTTCTCTCCATTTTGTTAATGCTATTTCTGGAATTTAATTACTAGTTCCGTTTCTTATGTTGTTTTTATCTATTTCTGAGATGGTTAAGAGGATATTCATTTTTCCTGGTGAAAATACAGAAATAGAACTATACATATATTCTCGTACATATTTCGTCTGGAATTCTGTCATTGGTTACCGTATGAAAACAATATGCAAAAATGAGTAATAAGTTATTGTATATGAAAGAATATTCAATTTGTGTGAAATTTATTCACATACATTTTGCGAATTAGAAATAGATTTTGAATTATTATTACAAATTGATTACAATTACAAACGTATTACAAATTGATATCATAGTGTTGACAAGTTCCGACTTAGCTAAACGAATAAAAAACGTTAAACATTTCCAATGGATCTAATTTGATGGCCACGTGCGAGTCATGTAGAGTGCAGAGTACTAAAATTCCTTTACAACGGAGTAGGAGCCGGATGGAGGTGGTGGTGGTTCATTGAGGACATTTAAATTCACACGCCGCGCCGTAGCAACGGGCAATCTGCCCCGTGGAAATAAAGGGTATATAACGTGCGTTCTCTGTGCTTCTCAAAGTACGAGGGACGGTCTAACTGGATTAGCGCAACCGTGTCTCTGAAATTAATTCCCCTTTCTATATATTCTCTGTGCTTCGGACGTCGATTGATTTCCACTCGCTTGGAAAACACGTCAGGGGTAAACAAAAATCTACCTGTGTCCGTTTCTCCGTGTGTTCTCTCGCTTTTAAATTCGGTATTTTTTAAAGGAATTACCTGCCTTTGGGATGATTGGATTTTTATTAGACTTGACTATTTAACGAGAGGAAATAACCTTCTATGCTCAAAAGGAGAAGTCATATTACAACTATATGCAGTATTTTATGATATGAAAATTAATTTATAAATATAGCTTTTTATTCGTAATCATGCCTTTTTATGAAAGTATTTCACATATAAGAGTACGTTACTGGTTACGAGAAATCTAGAAGCTGAATTCTCAATTTAAGAGATAGTCGACATTTTATGGGAATTTCTGAAGACGAAACGTGTGTTGCATCGGAAAATCTTGTTCGTTTTCGCAGCATCAGCTGGGTCCATTTGTTGCGTCAAGGGCTTGCAACCTCGGTCGGTCCTTATCTAGTGTGTAACGTTTCCTCCGAAACGCGTTGACAGCAGCGGAAAATTTCGTAGAAGCGTGTGTCTGACGGAATATTCTGCCACGCTCGGCACGACTTCGGTTATCAAGGACAGGAATTAGATTTGTGTGACGCCGCGCTGGTGGACAGACCTCTGAAGTGCCTGTACCAAGTCTCGTGCTGCAGTCGTGTGTAACTCGGTCAATTTTATCGAGTTACACTCCGGTTTCTCTGCCTTCTCGGCGCGTCGAGATGTCCCGAAACCTGAATCTTCATCCGTTCCATATTCGACCCCGAGATATTCTTATCGAAGTGGTTCCCTCTAAAATTCTCAGAAATTGGACGCTAGAAGTTCGCTCGATATGGTTCTCATTTCTCCCTATAATCCTAATTCTCCCTTTCATACTTCCCTTTTCATTTTAAAATCTGATTCTGAATGAATTCTTCTACAGTAGCGAACACTGCTCGCTTTTAAATTAAATCCCTTATTGATTATGAAGTTATATTACATTGCGGCGTTTTATAAATCTTCTCCCTTTTTAAATTAAAAAGTTTGATGAAATTACAGAAAAGTTGTTATAACTTCAATTACAGTGCCCGTTTTTTTAACATTTTTTGATTTTTTTTCAACTCTTATACTTATTTTATTTCTTATGAAATTTATAAGATTACACAGTATTCAATAAGTTTTTAATTTTGGTTTTGACATTTCTTAACTACTTCGTTAATTCTCTTAGAATTTATCTCACCTATTGAAATTTTAAATACTATTCATTTGAATAATAAAAAGGATTAACTAGAAATAATAATATAGCAAAGTATAACACTGAATAAAATTAATAATAAGTAGCGAGACTCAGGCTACTAAATTGCCGCACTTGATATTTCAGCCTGCCGGCTTTATTTTGTGTTCGTACTACTTCTGTCGCCCGGAATCATGTTTGCACAAAGCATATTCTTTGAAAAGTTCTCTTTACGCCTGCAAACAATCAGTACATTCCAAATGACTTGCTATAATATTGTTTGTTATCTGGTTGCAATGGAACTGCTTTGTCCACTTGTTTCGAGCGTATATAGGAAGAGCTTCCTTTTGACGATTCTTTTATTCAAGCTTTAATAAGAGCAGTTTGTTCAAACAACGCGTCTCTTAAGAGTACATTCCCCTTTTCTTCTTGCTATTATTTAGCACGTTTTCGCAATTCGTTGAAGTTTATTAAATTCTTCATTTAACTATTTAAAAAAAAGACTGTATTAAAATGTCAGGAAGAAGATATTTTAAATGAATTTTAATATTTAAAAGAATTTTAATCTTGAAAATGTGCTCGTTTACTGAATTATGTTTCATACTAAGATACGCATATTACATTAGTTTAATTTAGTGACGCTTTGTGAAACGAAATATGCACCGTTTTATCAAGCCCCTTTAACTCTTTACACATGCTATGTTGTTCCCGTCTGTTGAAGGTACTTTGAACACAAAATCTCACTTTACGTGTTTGCATTTTTCTTCATTTAACCCATGTAAATGTCATTGTTTTCGCAAAGTCGCCAACTAACTTGGCAAACATTAATGTATAACATGATTTGTTGTTTGAGAGGCTGAGGATGGCTACATAATTAGTAACGAATTGTAACAGATAATAGTTTTTATCTGGTTCACCTAAGCGAGAAGAGCATGTAGATTTTCCGTGGATCTGTTGTTAAATGTAATTAAGAATTGAAATCGTATAGTTCACATTTGGGCTTATATTTATTCATCGATGTTGAAAAGTTTAAGGAGTCGAAGAAGATTGATTAATATTGTAAGCATTCTTTCAAATCATGTATTTTATTAAAAATACATTGATTACATATTATTATGATGTACGGTTTTATAATAACATTTTGGGATTTTAACTGAAAACTAAATATAAACTGAGAACATGTCATGTAGATAGTCTCATTGAAAACGGGTCCTGAAGGTAGAATGGTAAGCGCGTGTATCAACGCATGGATTCCTGGTCTAAAGGCCTAGATAAAAATTCGTGATTATCTCTCACGGATAGGTTTTATTGTCATCCGTGCATGGTCTCTCTATTGTGTCGATTCTACGGTACAGGGTACGGGTTTTCCTATTTGCCGAGTCAACAGTTAGACTCCGGGACCTACATAGTTGTCCAACGTCATAACAGCCGCGTACCGCCCTTCTTCCATTTCCGGCTACGCTGTCTCGCTGACAAGTATTGTGCTGTTTGCATAAAGCGATGAGAGCGGGCTTCGAGGTAACGAGACTCGGGCAGGGATCTAGTTGCCGATGAAATTCTATTTTGCCTCGCGTTAGACCTCGTTTCACTACCTGTGCAACTGATTAGACCGGAGTCAGTAGGTTATTCGGATCTAGCAAATTTCGGTTTAAATGACAGACGAGTCCATAGGCAAACGATTATTTTATTCTATTTACGTTCAGT